TGCTTTATTTCCCATATGGCTAGAAAATATAAATATATATATATATATATATATATATATATAAGATAGTGAAAGATATTTAACAACAAAGAAAACATTTGAACCAGACATTCATCAAATTACTAAAAACAATCTAAACTTACGTTTTAAAAAATAAATTGTGTCTGTCATTTATTTCAAGTTCCAATATATCCAACTTGAGTAGATAAAAACATAAATTTCAAATTTCAAAAAAGCTCATGCTTTATATTTATGTAAACTTAACGCACTACAAAAATGAGCTTTTTTAGTTTTATTTTATGTTTATTGTAAAATTCAACAAAAATTATAACGATACTTAATTAATATAATGATTCCTGTAAGTACTCATTATTGATTACATATTAACTAAACATACATCCAAAATTAATTTTGCTAATTTAATATTCGCTCCAATTTTGATTATTAATTTTGTTGCGAAAATTGCAATATAGATGATAATATTGCACTGATTTACTACTAAATGTACTCTACTAAATTACTATGGCATGTATATTACTAGAAAAAATTCAATACAATATAGAGACACATTGAATCATATGTAATTAATATAGGCATTTGCAATTTGTGAAATGATATTCAAAATTTATATTTGCTATATTTGAATCAATTGATAAGAGTTATTTGAGAAAAAAATATTATCCTTTTACTATTAATAATAACTTGTTATCAAAATTGATGAGATGCTTCCAGAAATGCATCATACTTTAATAGTGAAAATGCGCCTATTATAATACGATCTAATTTCCTTATGTAACTTGTTTGATTCTTATTAAATGCCTATATTCATTGTCAATCAAAATACTCATTATTTTTTTAAGACAATGTGCTGGTCTTTAAATAGTTAATCTTCAACGATACATCTTTTTGTTTGAAAATTTGAATTTATTTCTAGTGGTATTCTAAATTATTTTTCTGCCTCAGAATAAGTAGCAATTTTTATTTCATTTATAGGTCATTACTTATATATCATAGAATTTGAAAGGGTTTTCATTGCTTCTAAATTTATTCATTGATTGTATGGAAAATTACCCAACGGTCGGTCTCCATGAAAGTTTTCTACCGGTAAAGGTTTTCAATCATTTTGATGATCATGATCTAAATAGAAGGAGATCCGATGGCTATTTTGTAATACAATTCAATATTGCAATAAAATATTCTATTATTTTTTGCAATTTTTATTAAATGCGGCAACTTTTATTGAAACTTGCCAAGATACTTCAGTATATTTTTTTTCAAAGGGAAGATTTTCAAAGTTTATCAATTTTGAAAATTTTAAGTTTATACTTTAACCAGAATTAGAGGTTGTACTTGAAAATAATTGAAATTGGAAAATTAGCATTTTTTTTTTCTTATTGTTTATGGTTGGTAAAATCAATACCACCACCATCCAATTTTGGCTCGATATTGATTTCTGCGATTCCCTGTATATATACAGATCGCGAGTTTGAGTCTCCGCTCTGGACAACCTGATATCGTGCAGTGGCGATTAAAAATATATTTCCAATTGAAAATAACCTATTTCGAGCACTACGGTCTGCAATGGCATTAGTAAATCTCTCACACAATTTTTCCTTGATACTAGTTGGAGTTTATCTCATATCACGGACCTGCCCTAGGGCCCTACTACTACAATCGTATGTATATATATATATATATATATATATATATATAATTCTCCTCTAGCTCTTGGTCTATTTCCATTCGTCGGTACAGACGTAATCCGTTGCATTATTGAACAGCAGGATTCGATTTTGCCCCGTGGCGGTTGCCGAATTTCAAATGACCCATTTGAAAAATTGACATTTATTACGGTCAATGTAGTGAAGATTATATTTCCAAATGGCCAATTTAGGCAGAATCATTTTCAATATTTATCCGATAGAGTGAATGGGCCCGGGACCAAATCAAATTTATGGGGTATGCGATCTGATGGATTTTAGTGAAATGATGATGCTCGTAAAATGAAGCGGTAATAAATTTTTCCAAGTACTTTGGAATTGGTTTCTATTGTTTTTGCTTTTGGGGTTCTGCTATTAATGAATGAGATGGACTTGTTGTTATGTGTCTTTTGGTATGCTGTTAGTGCATTTTAGTACTACAAATATTTTTATTAGATTTTTATTAGATTTAATTATTATAAATTTGATTGTATTATTTAAAAACACAGCATAGAGGATACGTTCTTAAAATGAGAAAAAAATCTACAGGTTTCCTACTGATAAGTACCATTATAATGTCTTATTGCTTTTAAACATCCATTTTATATTCCGCAGAAGTTTGCGGCATGAAAATTGAAACTTCTTTCTTTTGAATGGGTTTTTGCATTGAAAACGACACCACTTAAAGACCAGTCGCTTTATTGATCGTGAACAAGGCACGAAGTAACACAATTACTAATAAATTCACACAATAGCCCTTGAATTAGCCAGCATTTTCTATTTATAACGTCCCCTCTTTCGTTTCGGAAAACAGTTCTGGTATAAGAACCATTAGGCACTTTAGACCAGTTAGCGAATTAAAGGCAGATGGTTCATAAACCAGGGAAACTGGGATTGGGAAATTCATAGAAAACTGGAAATAATAAATTTAGGATTAAGAATTTCTATATTAGTTGTTATAAAAAATGCTCTAGCACTGATGTTTAATAACAAGTCCATTTTCAACTGAATTTGTATTTGGATCTTACCTTAAACTTATATTACATGAAGTATACATTGATTTACGCTTTCTGTAAATTAAAACATCAATGTGATTTTTTTATAATATACCTAATTTTTGTTCATTGTCATCGCAATTCAATATATAAAATAATTATTTTCTCTTAATTTATCTATTATAAAAATAATAAACTTGGATCCGACACAATTTAGCAAACAGTATGGATTGTAAGCAATATTATTTTTTGTAATTTGCTATATAACTCATACTCGAATTATAGATGCTTATGAGTTATTATCTGATATAAACTTGACAAGACCCTATAATAATCATATACTAAAAATTTGATATATCATGTTAGTGGCTACTCGACAAGCACTAAATTTGTGAAACATTTTAGTGAACAGTACGGATTTAAAGCACTTTAAATTATTCTCTTTTAACTGATACTATAATTATGAATTTTAACTGATACTATAATTATGAAAGGTTGTGATTCAATATCTGGCATAAACTTAACAAGAAACTGCAATAATCAACTGAAAACTTAATTATCACACTTCACCTTCATGAACCAACTCTGCCCGTTTACTTGACATCACATGCAATGCACTGTAACAATTTAAGAAACACAACGGCTGCCGAGCAATAGTAGGTCGCCGCGTACAAAAGCTTGCAAAAGCTCGCAAAAGCCCTCCTCAAAGAACTGTCAACTGTCTTGACAGCTTTAACAAGATTTCACATTTCTGTAACACCCATTTAGAGAACAAAACCTTAGCCGCGTCACTCAGTCAGCGAGTAGGGACACACGTGCGAAGGGGCTCAACGGATTACCGACGACTCTCAGACTGTATTAAGAGTCTGGAAAGGATAATGGACGGAGCTGGTCACTAATTTGACACCGAGATAATTATATTTTATCATCATATGTAATGGTAATGTAGCATCCTTACCACGACTTGCATACCTGAAATCTTGCAGTTGTCTTCCATTTTCATATACATCAAACATACTCTTCCAGTGGACAATATTCCATTTCTGCATAATGATGTGAAATAGCTGTATAATTAGTGTTGGAGTGTCTAGGCCAACTCACAGACTGCTTATTATTAAGAATCTCTCTCATACCCATTAATCACACAATCCAAGAAAATGCACTCATAAAGCACATTCCATGTGCCTTCGAGCTAAGAACCGATTTTAACCCAAATCTAAATGTAATCGTAAGATCTGTAAGGAAATCATTATTTCACACATGTAAAAATTTATTAGCTAAATCTCTTGCTTACCTAAATATCTCCCAATTGCTTTAAAAATCCAGAAAATATAAAATAGAGTTATACTTAAATTGGTGAGAATTTCAACTTACAGTTTCAGCTTCACATGGGCTAAATTTTATGACCATTTTATGAAAATTCCAACAAAAAATTAAATGAAAATTAATTAAATAATCTGCAATTTTGAATCTTGAATTTTAAACAAGAACTTGGCACATCTTTGTGAAACAAACGAAACTATACTTACACATTTGTGTAAATTTTTTTTGCCTCGTTTTTGTTGGTCCCATTGTCACAGATATTAAGACTATTTATTTCCAGCTCTTTCTCTACGCCTAATACAATCTTTCAGGGGACCCACGTATATTATTACTCGATAATAGAATATGTGCGGTGGCAGGCCGCAACCAAGTATTCAATCAAATTGCTGGCGAGGCGAACGCAGGGATTGTCGTTTGGTGATTTGTTAAGGCGGCGACATGTAATTGTTGTTTTGTTAGGAAGAAAATGCGAAAATTACGTTTTGTTGCTCGACGAACCGAGATTTCTTGTTACAGGTGTGTAATTGAAATCACACTGTTCTCTATTAGGGCCGGAAAAACGAAATTGGGGAATGGAAATTTAGATTTATTTTACGCTGCTTAAACATATGATGTATGTATGCAGATTCTGTTTTATGATAGTAAGGCATCGTGCTGGGATACAGGTTTCTCATAATCGACTATCATTATATTGATATCCATCTCTGCTTGATTAATAATAAAATTATCTGTATTACTACTGCAAGAATATCCAATTCAAACTTTGACACAAATCTATACAAATGCTCTGAGAATTCAGTAACTCTTCTGTAAACATTCAAAATTCAACACTCACCGCTGCCACCAAATTCAATTTCAATTATTTTTGCATCATTATTTAATACTATAAACCAAATACCTCTAATTTATACGTATTTTTATAGTTATTTATGCTACTTACTAATTTTACCAAGACCTAACTAATTATTTTTTTTGATTACAGATTCGAATGGAATTGGACTCATCACCATGCTAACCAAAGGTGAGTGATTTTTTCTATATCCTTGTCATTACAATAATTTAAAATTCTTACTTTTGAAAAATATTATCCTCGTACAGCTTCAAATAATAGAATGAAAAACTATATTTGAAAAAATAATTTTAATAATTCGAAGAACTAGGCCAAATATATGACGATGACATATCTTCAAAATGTATGTGTGAAAAAATCCAATGATAAATATCGTAATAGTCCAAATCGAAGTTTTATCTTTTATTTTATTTTTAGTTTCTTGGATTTAATAATTAGTGAAAATGCAAGATCTAAAAATTAAGTTTACAGTATTTTTTTATTCTAAATAATGGAAAAGTTTTTAGGACTCGTAAAAGAGATCACGCTTTTCTTTCATTTATAGCAGGATTCTATGACTTTTTTTTGGATCCCGTATGTAAAACATTATATTTGATTAATTATATCCTGATAATGTAACATATTTCTTAGCTTTTCCCACATAAGTTCTGTGGTAGTCCGACAGAATCCATTTAACACGACCGAACTTACAAAAAGTCCACTTCACGCACAAAAGGATCATGGACAGGTTTTACGATAAGCAAAGCAATAAAGTTCAATCTGCGGATTTTGGTCCAAAAATTAATAATTATCAAATGATATTCAAATACTTCATTCAATAAATAATAATAGTAATCTCTAATTTAGGACCTTTATTTTTGCCTTGTGGACCGCCATTTTCACTTCGTTGACCATGAAATTTTTGTTCGCTCACGTGACTCTCTGAATGTTGTCATGGGCTCATGGGACTTTATGTAAACCATTTTGGGAATCATTGATTTAGACAAACTAAATTTTTGCTAAAAATAATATTACAATTATAAATGGTCATTCAGACTAAGACTCCCAGAGTGGTCAATATTAATAATTTAAGATCCACGTAAGTTTTGAGACAATGTTTTAATTAGTTAGGTGGAAAGGTTAGGTCTGCGTTATGATCAATTCTTTTTATCATATAACAATGTTCAACTTAAGTGTCCCCGATAAAAAAGGGTGGATCTATCCCTGATCTAGATCCTTATTCTCCTCGGGTGATATATATCCCATCGCCTGGCGCCGTGTCACTTCGAAGGGTCGTTCATTATTCGGTAATGAAAGTTTTTGTGCGTATCCAATTCAATTACTAGAGCTAGTGGAATGGATGTACGAAAACGCAATGTCGCCATTGACGACGACAAAGTTATATGGGATAATAATGATAATGAATAACGCTACTCTTCTTGTGCAGATGGCTTCTGAGTTATAATTGATCCGAGAGATAATTACACACTGTCGCGGAAAGTTGCAAGTAATTATTTAAGGCGAGGATGAGGCGAGACACGTGTGGGTAGAATACACTAGATGAATATATGCCAATATTGCATATAATAATTTTTATAAAAATGAGCTTGCTATGGATTAGTAGCAAAAACTTTGGTTTTGCGACAAATAGATCTTTGATTCTACTTCCCTCTGAGATAGCTTGATATCGAGAAATAGTCATCAGTTTTGACTTGAAAATATAGATCAAAAATGTTTTATAATACAGATATATATATATATATATATATATATATATATATTTATCCTCCCTATAGTTACCATATAAGTCACCTTTTCACCTGTAATTGGTATTAATACTAAAACTCTGTTATAATCCATTTATCAGGACATTCTCTCGAATAGTGAAGTTTCTAACAATTCCTCCCTAACTTTATTTCATCGACCCATAAACATAGAAACAATATAAAATTAACTTCTAACAAACTTCTCATGGGAGTATTTTGTTTCAATATATTCTTCTTGTTAATTAGTTGAGTTATTACTATATGAAAATTAATTATAATGTATTTGATTTTGATTCACATTTAGATGAATAGTGTGTATATGTTTGCATTCATGATCAACCATATATTTTAAAGTAAAATGCGACAGTTGATATACAATATATGTTAAGAATTGTTCTAAAAATACTAGAGGTGCATGACATCGTATCTCAAAGCAAATTACTGAAACTTATTAAAGAAGAAATTTTAAATATTTTTGAATATATAATTTAGACAACACTCAACAATAGAACAATTACATAGAGTTGTTGATTCCATTTATAAAGCCTTTCACTTCAAATAACATTGTTCAGCTTTTTTTCTTGACATCAGTCATGCTTTTGATAAAGGTTGGCATAACGGCCTGTTGTTCAAATTAAAGAAAAATTTACCCTACAACTATTATCTCCTTCTAAAATCATATCTGTGTGATAGAAGGTTCTTCATCAGTTTCAATGATGCTTCATCTAATGGTAAAAATATTTCTTCCGGAGTTCCGCAAGGTAGTGTTCTTGGTCCGTAGTGTTACTGCATTTTTACACTAGAATACCCCTTTACGTGTAAAAATATATACGATGAATCATTCAATCTTCTAATGAAAAATTCGTCGATAAATAAAATATAGACAAAACGTCAGTACAAATCGAAATCCGTTCCTCGTATCGGAATAAACCGTTATCGATAATTAATAAATACGGTGGAGTTGCGATGCACGCTGTTCGGCTCATTACCGCGTCCCCAGTCGCCATAAAACATGTACGTTTCACCTTCTAGCCGTGCGAACGGTGCTGCATACAAAATTCAAAGCGCTGATGGAATTACTTCGAATTAAGCCGCCATGCAGTCTTAATTCCTGAGCACGGGGACTGCGTGTTTATCAGGCGATGGACTAAAATATTCAACCGTTCCACTAGTTCAATGAACAAAGAGGAAATTCACTTGAGGGATAATTTTTTTTTCCATTTTTGCGTTTACTATAATCTACCCTATGGGAAGTTAACAATGGCTATTTCCAATATTGAATCATCAGAATCAATTATCAGAATCTATGCCATATTTTTTTAATAAAGCAAAATTCAATACCTCAAAGTAGATACATTCTTCTAGATTTTTATTTCTGCAAACCCTAAAAAGCAAAGCCGTTACATAAATGTAACGATCGTATTATCAAACTATTTTCGAGTAATTTATTATATTATTCTCTATTGAATATTATAGCGATATAAACTTAAGAGCTGCCGCCTATAACTCATTTTATAGTTCTGAAGGCTTTAAAACATATATAAATGGCAGTCCGATTAGCTTTTACGGTACAGACGATTATATTGTTATCGCAAGTTTTAAGACGCAATTCGAGCTTTTGAAAGCTCAAATAGCGTCACAAAAGCTCGAAAAGCGATATGCGCTCCTGGGCGAAAGCTTCGTATCTGAAATTTCAATTATATTATATGAAATTATTATTGAATACGTTTTCATTTGTTCTAAATTGTTAATAAAAGTTAATTTAATGACGTCTCGTATTTAGTAAATTTTATATAGAACTATATATATCTTATTATATATCTGCAATGATTAAATAAATATAATATATAAGTCTCATTTCTAAATTAGTATCTATTTACATTATGCAATAAATTCTGATTTACTTTTACGATCTCCAATAAAATCTCTTAAAAATCTATTCCAAGTCAGATAACATGATAAACGTTTTAACAAATAAGTCAGCACTTTCATAAACATTTATTAGCGTTAAAAGTTCTGCTGACTGCAAACTACAATTCTTACGCAGAACTTTATTAACTTTGCAAATTGCCCGAGCACTTGCAAACTCTCAGTTTTCCTGCAATCGTTAATAATCTAAGGTGGAGAGTTGTAGAATCCGTAGTTAGAGTTACCTAAGAGTGCTAAATTTTACAAAAGTAAATGCGCAGAAACGTTTTATTATGTGAAACTATGGAATAATAGATTTAGAGTGTTAATTTTAAAGTTATCTGCATTTAGGGTTTATACTAGAAACTCTCTTTCTCAGCTGCATGAATTGAGTTTTCATTTTAATTCCAACTTGCAAAATGAGTAAATGAAGGTGGGAATTTTCTTCACAAAAATACAATTCATAAAAATACACGAATTATGTCTATTGCCATCAACAAATATCACATTTTAATCAACAAATATTACATATATTATGGCCTATTTTATGAATAAAGTGAGCCACTTCAAGAACAAATAAATATGTTCAAATTTTTACCACAATTTTGACAATCTGGAGATATGTAATTTATCCATGCCGAACTTTCTATAAATATCCCTATCTTCTTCACATATCTTGTTGTGTTGTAAATTGTATAACAGATACTATCGCAAATTATATATTGAAATTTCTGTATTGTACAGTACTTTGTAATTATACGGAACAAATATTACATTCTTACATCGTCGGGCGTTGAATAAAGCTTCGTTAATGGCAAACAGAATTAATTTCATTTTATATATTCAAGGTGGTGCACTGTTAACAGAAAACGCGTTTTGTGTCTTTATACATGATAATAGAACGATGGCTGGTCGTATTTTTAGTCATTTATTGCTTTGCTTTTTTTACAAAAATCCTACCTTGCAACAGGTTTGATTTCATATTGGTCATCTTCATACCAAGCAGAACTGTGAGCAAAATACAACTCGCTAATTTTTATAGTTTGGGTTTATAAGAATTTATTTACATACAAACTAGTAGACTTTTGAAAGTATAACCCTTCTTAATTAAATCTCGAAATGGTGCTCATTAGATTTAGGTAAATATTGATCTGTGCATTTGCTTGTAATTGAGTTCAAATTACTTCAACTTTAAATATAAATCTAAATAATTATGAAAATATCTAAATTTACCTTTCACACAATATTTAAAGTAATACATTAATTCATTATAGGCGTTATTCTTATTTATATCAGATAGGATTAATTATATTGGTTTCTAAGCTTTTAACAAAATTTTGTTCAGGGTGTTTTTTATAAGAACAGAAAATTCTAATTTTTTTACTACTATTCCTCAAAAATTGGGTTTCCCACGTAACACTTCTCACTTCTACATACTTCAGCAGGTCAAATGTGAACAACCCAAAAATTTTGAGAAGTAGTTTTGAATAAAACTATTTCCGACCCTTATTTTACCTA